AAACATGCCCAACAAAAATGAAAAATTCTTGAGAGAAACCAAGACGGCGGCATAGGTAAACACTGGAAATTGCTGCTTCGCACAACCACTTCAAAAGTACAACTAAAAGACAAAACGGACATCATCCAGAACCACAGGAAGGCTGGCTGAGTGGAAATTCTACAACTAGAAGCAAAGAAAAAAGCACACTGAGACTCAGAGGAGGTGCGGAAGTAAAGTGCAGAAGTACGGAGGCGCACGAGGAAAGGGCTGGCAACTGAGGAAGCGGTTGACTGGCGGTTGTCTTTCTCAATCGGGAGGGAGTCTCAAGCTCCTGACACCTCTGAACTCCAGTCCGGGGCGAGTCTCTGGGGACCCAGACTCATACGGGGAGACACTGGACTGTCTGGCATCGGTCAGAACTCGAGGGCGGCTTGCTCTCAGAGGTGCTTGCTGCGATTACCGGGACACTGAGACTCAGGGCCTCTTAGGGTAGGACTGAGGAGCAGCCATAGCTGTTTCCTCCGCCCTGTTGATTCCCTGAAACCCCGCCCAAGCTGTGCGCAGAGGCTTTTGCATATGAAAAGCCTAGCCCTTGGCAATCTGAAAATTACCTAACAAACTGCAGCTGGGTCAGAGAGACCCAGAACTTCCAAAAGGCCGAAGGACCCACAGCAGCTTGCATTGCTTCACAGCTGGGCCTCATCTGGGCACCTCCAAACCCCAAACAAAGAAGAGGAATTTGCAGATTTCTCCATAGATCTCTCCTGCTGGGTAGCCTCAGGCAGAGGCTAAATTAGCACCTCCTTAGAGATCCAAGAGCCAGTGTACCCAGTGGTCAGAGTGGGACCATCCAGATTACAACTCCTCAGATCCATAAGGGACACACTCAGGGGGCAGACTCAGTGAGCACCAAAGCCCCACTGAAGCAAGTCTTGCCCCATAAGGGTATCTCCAGCACAGAAGTTCTCCCACTGCAGACACAGCTGATTCTCACAGCCAATTGGCCTGGAGGTCAATTCCTCCCAGTGATACCTACAACAATCAAGGCTTAACTACAACAAGACTATGCACAAAGCCCACAAAAGGGTGCACCAAGAGTGTCTACCTCAGGTAATTGGGGAGGCTGAGCCACTGGGCCTTATAGGACACCTAGCACAGAAAGCCACTCTATCAACACAGGGAAGCAGCCAAAATGCGGAGACAAAGAAACAGGTCAGTCCACTCCCTTTCCATGCCCCTGGTTCTATTATATTCACCAGTTTACTCTGTTCATCAGATTTTTTAGTCACTTGATTTTTAGATTCACTTGTTGATAGATATGTATTTGCTGTTCATAATTTTTATCTTTACCTTTTTCTTCTTCCTCTTCTTAAAGAATACCTTTCAGCATTTCATATAATGCTGGTTTGGTGGTGATAAACTCCTTTAGCTTTTTCTTATCTGTGAAGCTCTTTATCTGACCTTCAATTCTGAATGATAGCTTTGCTGGATAGAGTAATCTTGGTTGTAGGTTCTTGGTATTCATCACTTTGAATATTTCTTGCCACTCTCTTCTGGCCTGCATAGTTTCTGTTGAGAAATCAGCTGACAGTCGTATGGGTACTCCCTTGTAGGTAACTGACTTTTTTTCTCTTGCTGCTTTTAAGAATTTCTCTTTGTCTTTTGCTCTTGGCATTTTAATTATGATGTGTCTTGGTGTGGTCCTCTTTGGATTCCTTTTGTTTGGGGTTCTATGCGCTTTCTGGACTTGTAAGTCTATTTCTTTCACCAGGTAGGGGAAGTTTTCTGTCATTATTTCTTCAAATAGGTTTTCAATATCTTGCTCTCTCTCTTCTTCTGGCACCCCTATAATTCGGATGTTGGTACCCTTGAATTTGTCCCAGAGGATCCTTACACTATCTTCATATTTTTTGGATTCTTTTTTCTTTTCCGGTTGGGTATTTTTTGTTTCTTCGTATTTCAAATCTTTGACTTGATTCTTGGGATCCTTTTGTCTGCTGTTGGTTCTCTATATATTATTCTTTATTTCAGTCAGTGTATGCTTAATTTCTAGTTGGTCTTTTTTCATATCCTCCAGGGAATCACTAAATTTATTGGCGGTTTCCAGAAAAGTCTTGAAAAACCTTATAACCGTGGTTTTGAACTCTAAATCCTGTAGTTTGCTTTCCTCCATTTCTGTCATTTGTGACCCGTTTGTCTCTGTGTTGGTAGAGTGGCTTTGTGTGCTAGGTGTCCTATAGGGCCCAGTGGCTCAGCCTCCCCAATTACCTGAGGTGGACACTCTTGGTGCACCCCTTTGTGGGCTTTGTGCACAGTCTTGTTGTAGTTAAGCCTTGATTGTTGTAGGTATCACTGGGAGGAATTGACTTCCAGAACAATTGGCTGTGAGAATCAGCTGTGTCTGCAGTGGGAGAACTTCTGTGCTGGAGACACCCTTATGGGGCAAGACTTGCTTTAGTGGAGCTTTGGTGCTCACTGGGTCTGCCCCCTGAGTGTGTCCCTTATGGATCTGAGGAGTTGTAATCTGGATGGTCCCATTCTGACCACTGGGTACACTGGCTCTTGGATCTCTAAGGAGGTGCTAATTTAGCCTCGGCCTGAGGCTACCCAGCAGGAGCTACGAAGAGATCTGCAGATTCCCCTTCCTTTTTGGGGGTTTGGAGGTGCCCAGATGAGGCCCAGCTGTGAAGCAATGCAAGCTGCTGTGGAGCCTTGGGCCTTCTCTTGGAAGTTCTGGGTCTGTCTGGCCCAGCTGCAATTTGTTAGGTAATTTTCAGATTGCAAAGGGCCAGGGCATTCATATGCAAAAGCCTCTGCTGCAGCCTGAGTGGGGCGGGGTCTCAAGGAATCAACAGGGCGGAGCAAGCAGCTATGGCTGATCCTCAGCTCTGCCCTAAGGGGCCTGTGTCTCAGTGTCCCGGTAATTGCTGCAAGCACCTCTGAGGGAAGCCGCCCTCAAGTTCCAAGTTCTGCCTGCTGCCAGACAGTCCAGTGTCTCCCCGTATGAGTCTGGGTCCCCAGAGACTTCCCGGAACCGGAGTTCAGAGCATTCGGGGCCTTGTGACTCCCTCCCGATTCAAAAAGAAAGCCACATCCTCAGGTGCCAGCCCCTTTCCGCGCGCGGTCGAGCATCTGTACCTATGCACTTTACTTCCGCAGCTCCTCTGAGTCTCAGTGTGCTTTTCTCTTTCCTTCTAGTTGTAGAATTTCTACTCAGCCAGCCTTCCTGTAGTTCTGGATGATGTCCGTTTTGTCTTTTCGTTTTATTTTTGAAGTTGTTGTGGGAGGCAGCAATTTCCGCTCTCAGCGGCCGCGCCCCCCCCCTTTCCCCCAGGGACTGGGGGACTCCGGCGGAACTGGGAGGACTAGGCACTGCCATCTTTGTGAGGGAGTGACAGTTAATTTGCATATTACCCTTTTATTAGCTAGGATATAATACAGGCCCTTAAAAACTCTATGTTTGAAAAATATTTTACATGAAGAAAATGGCTATTATATACTTTTAAGTTTAAAAAGGGAAATATATAATTTGAATAGACTATGATTCCAGTTACAAAAAAGATTATAATAATCTATGTAAAATATTAAAAGGGTGCTGGGTAATTAGTTTTTTTTCTAACCTATATTTCCTAGCACTTTGAAAATTTTCTATAATACATATTCGGGGCCTTTAGGGGGAAAAAACTGCTTAGAAACATAAAAATGTATATGAAGAAAAGAAAAATTGAATACAAAGAAAAAAAGTTACTAAATTAAGAGAACAAAGACATTCCCTTAGCAACAGAATATGGCTGTAGAATTTCACAACTAGAAACAATTCAAGAGTCTTGCTTTCAACATCATTAATTAATATAATGAAGAAAATAATTCAAGAAATATCTGTTTTATACAGGTAATTCTCCTTCACTGAACATGCCATTTTAAAAATGTGCTTCAGCCTTCACCTTAAAAATTTAATTACTGTTAGTTTTACAAACCACCTCTACTATCATAAGAGAATTTACTCATTCTTCTTTATACAGCCATATAAATGACTAACCAAAAAACTTGATTTCTGTCATAAAGAATATAGCTAATTAGAAGTATAAAGGTGAAATATAACCTACAGATGCTTAAGACTGGAAATGTCCAAAGAGACCTAAAACAAAATCAAATAAATCATAGCAAGAGAAGCACTCAATATAAAATAGTGACAAAAACAACTATACATGGAAGGCATGATAATTCAGAATCTGATTTGCCTTTTAAACATATGTAAAAGAAGAGCGTCAAAGTGACAAGCTAATCTTGCTTCTCTAGTAGCTAAAAATAAAGATCTATGATGTCTCTAAAGTCTAAAATATGTGAAGATTAAGATGGCTAATTCCCCAGAGGTACAACTACTTATTTACTACTACACTGTATACTCCAAACAGCACTGCCCAAAGAACTTTGTGAAATGACAGAAATGTTCTGTATGTGTGCTATTATGGTAACCAATGTGGCTATACTGAGCACTTGAAATGTGAATAGTGTGACTGAGAAATTATTTTAATTTTTATATCATTTTAATTAATTTTATCCCCAAATATACTGGTAGCCACCATATTGGACAATGCAGTTTTAAGCCCTCTGTGTGTACCTAAATATATATTTAAGGTGTTTGATTTAATGGGCGTCTATAATATTTGTTTACATTGATTCTACTTATTATAAAACTGCCCTGGCCTGTTTGGCTCATTGGTTAGGGCATCGGCCCACAGACCAAAGGGTCATGGGTTCGATTCCCAGTCAAGGGTGTGTACCCCAGTTGCAGATTCACCAGCCCTGGTAAGGGCTCATGTGGGAGGCAACCAATTGATGTGTCTCTTTCACATCAATGTTTCTCGCTCTCCCTCTCTCCCTTCCACTCTCTAGAAATCAATGGAAAAAATAACCTCAGGTGAGGATAAATAAATAAATATTATAAAATAAGCTTCTATACAGGAATGAGTTCACTTCCTTATGACTTCAACTTCCTTAGTAAAGCACACACTAGGTGGATAAATATGTAATCAATGTTTGATAAAAGAAGATACTTTACCAGCTCCATCTGAATCCTCTACCATAGGATTTATTTCTACCATGGTTGCATCATATTTCAGAAAAAGGTTGTAAAGCTTGACCATGTTTTCTGCTGCAGAATCCACAACATTAGGTGGAAATCCCATCTTCTGTGCAAGCTGAAAGCAATTTGTCTCTTTATTACAGGAATGCCACATATATCCAATCAACATTAAATTATTATAAATAAAAAACCTTGTTAATTATTTAAATGAGCACGAATCATCTGAAGTCAAACATTAATCACTGAAGTAGCAGCTATTAATAAATGGTTAAAAAATTTTTACCCAAAATCATCATAAGGCAGGTGGAAGAAGCACACAAGAACAGTACAGAAAACTAGTGAAATTGTAAACAGAATTATCATGTATGTGTGTACACAGAGAAAGTCTATAACTTTCATCAGATTCTTAAAAGCATCCATAAAAGTAAAACCACTGATTTATTTGGTTTATATAAGATAGTACCCCTACCATTCCAATTTTCAGGGGGGAAAAAGGGAGAGAGGAACAGTTAAAGGCCACCATAGGGATATAATATCCAGACTAGTTTATTCAACAAAAGAAAGAAAAAAGATGGAGAGAGTGAGGGAAAAGAAACCTATAAATTAGATAAGAGCCTATGAAACATTAACCAATACCAATAAAGAGAGATAATTAGGGAATTTGAATGACAGGATAAGTAATGATATTAAGGAATTATTGTTAGTTCTACTAGTTATGGCAATTATCTTTTAAAGATACATATTGAAATATTTATGGAGGATATAAAGAAAAATATTGTAGATACTTCTTTAAGTTTCCATTTCAAACAAGATATTAACATGCCTTGACACTTAAAACATTAAAAAAAAATTTTGTCAATCATTTCACTTGTACAAAATTGATTCTCTTTCTTCAAGTATTATAATTACCTAATCAAAAGCTAGAAATTTTTTGGAATGCAACATACCCGGACAGCTTGTTCCTTTTTGATGCCTTCTACAATATCAATAGGTTCTTTAACTATGGCTTCAGGAGTCTCTGCAGCAACATCTTCAATGTTGACACCACCTTGAGAACTTCCTATTAATACAGGACCCTAGGAGGAGAGGAAACAGCTAAAACATCTAGATTTTATTTGGACCGGTCAATAAAATTTTAAAACCTCTATGTGCACACTATGAGACTTATGCATCTATCACTCCCCATTCCTATTTTTAAATTTCGTGAGAATTTATCCTAGTATCTCCTGCACAATGCCCCTTATAATAAATGTTCAACTGAAATTATAGAAAAGAAGTGAAAAGAAAGAGAAAGAAAATAGTTCTCTGTGAGGGAAAAAGGTTAAAAATATATACAAAATTTATAACAAGTTAATATAAACATGTATATGTGAAATAGAACCTATGCATTTTCTGAAAAATCATAATGAACAAATCTAATAAACTAAAGTTTCAGATTTTATAAGCTCCAGGCTTATAAGTCAGTAAAACAGAAAGCTACCTACCTTAAAGAATATCTCAGGCTACTATCATTAACAATATAAGAAAATATAAATATTAATTAATCAAATTTTAAGTCTTTTAAAATCAATCAAGAAAAAAAACTTAAGGCAAAATTATCTAATAGATTCGCTAATTTATGCACAAAACTAGGAATAATATTATTATGCAAAAACAAGGAAATGGTTAAAGGATGTTACTAAAGGTTATTCTCAGGTATATTTTTTAACATTAAGTGTGTTTAAATGTGCACACACTCACTATTCATATAAATAGAAAAAACATGGCAAATAAAACAATAAATGATAATACTTTTGTTACTTCATATGTCACTATTCCCACCCCCAACAATTTTTAAAAAATGTTTTTTATTGATTTCAGAGAGAGGAAGGGAGAGGGGGAGAAAAACATGATCGTTGCCTCCTGCATGCTACCTACTGGGGATTAAGCCTGCAACCTGCAACCTGGGCATGTGCTCTGACCTGAGAATTGAACTTCGAACTCCTGGAGCTTAACCAACTGAGCCACACCAGCTATGCCCCCTCCACCCAAATTTTGTTTACAATGAACATATTATTCCTTTTTTTTTTTTTTTGTAGTGACCAATGTTTGTTCTGTGTTTCTGACCAGAATAGGAATGAACAGAGAGGGGATGTGCTTTTGGACAGAAACAAAGCTATATAATTGGTCAGGTTGTGCATCATGGGAAAACCTGGCTGAGATAGTTAATATTTCCCTATGGCCTCTATTAGTGTTAATCATCTAACATATTTTGGTCTCATATTAGTTTCAACCAGCTATAGTCTAAACAGGAGGAGATGATTTGAATCATAAAGAGAAAAGAAATGAAGTATGTGGTCCCTTCAGTTCCATTTACTTATGAGTATCCAGTGGGATTCCTTTTTTTTCCTAGCCTAAATTTTCTTATTATCCTTTTTATTTATTTTATTCATGTATGATCTTTCACTCATCCACCCATACAGAGAGTAATGGCTCTCAGTACCTGAACTTTATTTTTTAACTGAATTTATTGGGGTGACATTAGTTAATAAAATTATCTAGGTTTCAGGTGTACAATTCTATAATGCACGATCTGTACATTATATTGTGTGTTCACCACCCCAAGTCACGTCTCCTTCCATAAACATTTATTCCTCCCTTTTTTACCTACTCCCACCCCCCTTTCCCTCTGGTATTCACCATACTGTTGTCTATGAGTTCGGGGTTTTATTTAATTTTTTTTTCTTAATCACTTTACCTTTTTCACTGAGCCCCACAACATCCCTCCTTTCTGACAGATGTCAGTCTATTCTCTATAAGTCTATTTCTATTTTGTTTATTAGATTCCACATATGAGTGAAATATGGTACTTTTCTTTCTCTCACTGGCTTATTTCACTTAGCATAATGCTCTCAGGTCCATCATGCTCACAAAAGATAAGATTTCCTTCTTTTTTATGGTAGAGTAGTATTCCATTGTATAAATGTACCACAGCTTTTTTATACACTCATCTACTGATGGACACTTGAGCTGCTTCCAAATCTTGGCTATCTATACTAATAAAAGGGCAATATGCAAATTGGTCGGGACACCCTCACATAACAACCGAAAACTAGGCTGTGTGGGGCGACCAGGCTGGCTAGTGGGGCAGTGAGGGGTGACCAAATGACCGAACAGCAGGCTACGTGGGTGACCAGGCTGGCGGGGGGGCAGTGAGGGGCGACCAGGCTGGCAGGGGGGGCAGTTAGGGGCGATCAGGCCAGTAGTAGGCGGTTAGGGGGTGATAAGGGCCGGCAGGGGGGCAGTTAGGGGGTGATCAGGCAGGGCAGGCAGAGGCCATTAGGGGTGATCAGGCACGCAGGCAGGTGAGTGGTTAAGGAGCCCAGTGGTCCTTGTTTTTTTAAAAGGAAAGTTCCCATTTTCCCCGGGGATGGGGCCCAAAAAAAGCAACAGGGGCCACCCCCCCGGGGGGTCCCCCTTTTTAGGTCCCAGATTGAGAAGGGTGCAGGCTGGGCTGAAGGGGACCGCCCCCCCCCCGCACGAAATTTCGTGCACCGGGCCTCTAGTCTATAATAATAAAAGTGTAATATGCTAATTAGACCAGAAGTTCTTCTGGACAAAGCCACAGTGGCAGAGGCCGAGGCAGAGGCAGCAGAGGCCTCCGGCCGCCGTGGCGGGCACCAAGACCCTTGCACGAATTTCGTGCATCGGGCCTCTAGTCCTATATAATAAAAGACAAAAAGGGTAATTAACCGTACCTCCGCTACGCTTCCCATTGGCTAATCAGGGCGATATGCAAATTAACTGCCAACAAAGATGGCGGCCGGCAGCCACGCAGCTGAAGCGAACATGAGGCTTGCTTGCTCCAGTGATGGAGGAAGCCAAGGTTCCCTGCCTGCCGAGGCCTGGCTCTGAGCCCGAAAGCAACAATGTTTCAATTATAGAAGCTAAATAAACCCCAGATACCTGCTTTCAGCCGGCCACGGACTCACAGCTGGGAGCGCCAGTGACGGCAACAATGTTTCAATTATAGAAGGTAAATAAATCCCAGAATAAAAAAAAGAAAAAAGAAAAAAAGGAGAGGCTGGGAGCTTCAGTCGCCCGCCAGCCTGTAAACGGCCCTCAGCCCCTCACCCAGATTTGCCAGGCACCCCAGTGGGGACCCCCACCCTAAAGGGGGTGTGGCCAGCCTGAAAACAGCCATCAGCCCCTCATCCAGGCTGGCCAGGCACCCCAGTGGGGACCCCCACCCTGAAGGGGGTGTAACCAGCTGCAAACAGCCATCAGGCCCCACCCAGGCTGGCCAGGCACCCAAGCGAGACCCCCACCCTGATCCGGGACACTCTTCAGGGCAAACCAGCCGGCCCCCACCCATGCACCAGGCCTCTATCCTATATAGTAAAAGGGTAATATGCAAACTGACCCTAACAGCAGAAAGACTGGGAATGACTGGTCACTATGACACACACTGACCACCAGGGGGCAGACACTCAATGCAGGAGCTGCCCTCTGGTGGTCAGTGCGCTCCCACATGGGAGGAGCTCTGTTCAGCCACAAGCCAGGCTGATGGCTGCCAGTACAGCGGTGGTGGTGGGAGCCTCTCCTGCCTCCTCAGCAGCGCTAAGGATGTCTGACTGCAGCTTAGGTCTGCTCCCCGCTGACAAGTGGACATCCCCCGAGGGCTGCCGGGCTGCCAGAGGGATGTCTGATTGCCATCTTAGGCCCAATCCCCCGGGGAGCAGGCCTAAGCCAGCAAGTGGTCATCCCCCGAGGGGTCCCAGACTGCGAGAGGGCACAGGCTGGGCTGAGGGACTCCCCCTCCCCAAGTGCACAAATTTTTGTGCACCAGGCCTCTAGTATGTAATAAAAGGCTAATATGCAAATCGACCAAACAGTGGAACGGCTGGTCGCTATGATGCGCTCTGACTACCAGGGGGCAGACGCTCAATGCAGGAGCTGCCCCCTGGTGGTCAGTGCGCTTCCACAGGGGGAGTGCCGCTCAGCCAGAAGCTGGGCTCACGGCTGGCAAGCGCAGCGGCAGAGGCAGGAGCCTGTCCCGCCTCCACGGCAGTGCTAACGATGTCCGGCAGTGCTAACGATGTCCGACTGACGGCTTAGACCCGCTCCCCATGGGGGATTCCCCAAGGGCTCCTGGACTGCGAGAGGACGCCCCTCCTCCAAGTGCACAAATTTCATGCACCAGGCCTCTAGTTGTAAATAACACTCCAGTGAACATAGGGGTGCAAATGTTTCCCAGAAATGAAACTTGTGGGTCATAAGGCAGTTCCATTTAAAATTTTCTGAGGCAACTCCATACTGCTTTCTACAGTGGCTGCACCAATCTACATTCCCACCAACAATGCACAAGGGTTCCCTTTTCTCCACATCTTCGCCACACTTGTTTGTGGATTTATTGATAGCCATTCTGACAAGTGTGAGGTTATATCTTGTGGTTTTCATTTCTCTGATTAATGACACTGAGCATCTTTTCATATGTCTATTGGACATCTGTACGTCCTCTTTGGAGAAGTATTTATTCAGGACCTCTGCCCATTTTTTAATTGGATTGTTTGGGGGGTTTTTTTTGATGTAGAGTTTTATAAGTTCTTTATAAATTTTAGATATTAATCCCTTATGAGATATATCACTGGCAAATATGTTCTACCATTCAGTGGGTTGTCTTTTCATTTTGTTGATGGTTTCCTTTGCTGTACAAAATGTTTTGTTTGAAGTAGTCCCATTTGTTTATTTATTTTTTTTTGTTTCCCTTACCTGACGAGATATATCAGAAAAACATATTGCTATGAGAAATGTCTGAGATTTTACTGCCTATGTTTTCTTCCAGGATTTTTTCTGGTTTCATGTCTAACATCCTTTTAAAAATATGTTTTTATTGACTTTTTAGAGAGAGAGGAAGGGAGAAAGATAGGGAGATAGAAACATTGATGAGAGAGAAAAATCAATTGGCCACCTCCTGCACATGCCCCACTGGGGATCAAGCCCGCAACCTGGGCGTATGTCCTGACCAGGAATTGAACTGATGACTTCTTGGTTCATGGGTCGATGCTCAATTACTGAGTCATACCAGCCAGGCTAG